CTAGAGTTCGAATTGTGTTTTCGGTCTATTTCTTGCATAATGTTTGCATGGCTTACCTCTCTATTTTAATCAGCGTTAGCGTCTCACATCTATGATTGTCTCTCTGCAAGCTTTCAAGCAAATGAAATATAAAAAAACATTTTTATTTCTTTATGAAACACTCATTGTTCAGAACAATAAAAGGAACAATTCTTTACCTCCAGTTTATGTTTTCTCAGAAAACTTCATGTTATCACCAATGGCCATTTCTACTCATGTTCTTTGGAGCCTTCTTTGTGTACTCCGCTTCGATACGCATTTTGCACAGGTGCAGTTTTATGTCCAAAGATCTTACTTACGCCGTGCAAAGTCGTTATGCACAAGTATTGGTTACATATATACCTAATTGACATTGTTTCACACCGTCTCAGCCTTCACAATGTGGCGAGAGACGAGCTCTCTCTCGGCTCATCTCTCGCTCCCCGCGACGTCCCTCGCGTACTCGGTTTAACAGATCATTTTGCACGATGACATACTATGCCGACTATCGAATTCGAGTCCATCGAGTGGGAGGAGGTCGGCCGTTTTCTCTGTGTGACTGTGGGAGCACGTCTGGTGGCTCAGTTACTGTCAGTGCCCCGTGGCTGGACGATCCATGAGGCTGGCCGGGCGCCCTGGGCATGGTTACCGTTAGTGAATAATTATTAATTACGTGCCTTTGTGATAAGCTATAGCTAACTTTGCCAAAATGTCGGATTTTGCTGAATTTAATTGCATGTAAACTGTATGTAAACGCCATTGCATGTAAACTGTCTGATGCGTTGAAACAGCGCATCCGACAGAGACGGTCACGTGCTGCTAAAGTCCTACAATCGCTCCATAACAAAATGTCGGCAGACAGAGACTGGAAAGATATTTTTCCTAGTGCCTCTCGCAAGGAAGCACAGGACCTAGTTGTCCACATGATGGAAAGATTGGGAGGACAGGTGCATGATACCGAAGTAGGTGTAGATACAGAAGTGATGGACGCTGATGATCCTGAATCAGCGCCGTCTCTTCAGTCGATGCTTCAACAAGCTCTAGATGAGGTTAGAGCTCCAGAGCAAGGCACCAGTTCATGTCCGTCTGGGATTAACTTTTAGCAATCTTCTCTGATGATGACGAAGGCCATAAGGAAAGAATTGGAAAATTTACCTATCTCAGGAAGGACAGGCATGGTAGCGCTGTCCTACAACTGGCTGAAGGGCATAGTTCCTACGAGTGTTGAATCGGAACGAGTGTTTTCCACTGTCGGGAATATCGTCACAAAAGTGCGGTCGAGTCTCGGCGACGAAGTCGTTGATGCACTTTGCTTCCTCAAGTGCTACTACCGTAACAAGTGAATGTGACCAGGACATGCTGCTGGTCAGACGACCACAATCCGTAGGCACGTCTACTGTATCCTGACTCGAAATATAAACAAGAAATACAATGATCAATGTCATTCATGCTCTTATATTTGTTCGGGATGAAGGTGTATGCCTGGTATTGTGTTTATGATGGTAAGGATGCGCCATATACATACGATATTGCAAGAAAATTCTGCTTTGTAGACAGGTTAAAATAAAAACTGCTCAATCCCGGGATCCCGGGATATCCCGGGATTGCATTTCTAAAATCCCGGGATCCCGGGATTGCCAAAAAGTCCCGGGATTATCAGTCCTAGCACAGACCTTTCTACGAATCTTTCTTAACTTTCACCTACTCTAAACTAAAAATATTCCGCCGTTTTCGTCACCAGATGGTGGACTTCAACATCGGGGGTGTCATCAGCATCATCGTGTTCTACGTCCTGATCCTGCTGGTCGGCATCTGGGCAGGCAAGAAGAAGCCGCCCGGTGAAGATGACAGCGAGGACGTCATGCTCGCCGGCAGGAGCATCGGCGTCTTCGTCGGCATCTTCACTATGACCGGTAAGAAGGAGTGCCGCAAGGGTGCGTTCTGGGTCCTGTGTTATTTGGGCTGTTCGTGCTGGTTGCTGCTCTGTGTTACTGGCTACGACGTTGGACATTCATGGACACCAAAACCCTTGTAAATGTAGACTGAACGGAGTCAGATAATGTTGCCATCAAGGCCATCACTCCATAAAACTTTACCTTGCAACGGAACACTAGTGCATTTTGCAGCAAGTTCAGACGGCATTGATATTGCAATGCACAGTGTACGGCCCGCAAGTTCAAGAGTGCATAGACGGCCTCCATATTCCGAGTGTCACGATGATTACGCTACACTCATGTTACACTAGTTCTTCGTAAATAAGCATTTCATAGCAACATAATCCGTTTCAACTTCATGGCTGAAGTGATCATATGATAACAGCACGTGCCGTGCACGCTTTTATGTGCTACTCTAGCATTGGCATGTAGCCGTCATGCGGTACTAGACATCAATGCTTCAAATCATTTGAAGGAACTGCGGTTGCATGGATGAATTTAATATTCGATAATTCATAAACATCCACAACAACTGAAATAAACGATGTTTTGTAGGTATAAGTTCTACAAATTCTGAAATAAAACGCAGAAAATCATGCGTTCTTCAATAGCATGTTGCCATGTTAGCTTAAACAATAGCAGCTAAATATGAAAATGCTGCCCAGGCCCACGTATCGATTGTGAGGAAAAATACCATGAAGTTTTCATGATACATCCTGCAGCGAATATCGCAGTCCAATTACTCGCGGCCTTGTGGACAATGATAATTTTATGCATAGCTCTCCGTTTTATTTTCTACCAAATGGTAAAAATGGTGGAAAACCTTGGAATAAAGCCGTACAAACCTGATAAAACTCTTAGCATTCGACATTCTTCCGTATAGTTTGACGTCAGAACCTTGCTTTGGCGTTAGTGCTACAAATGGCTAGATTCCCTACATCTCAACCACCGAAATATTTAACGACACCTGAGCTTGTGTTTAAATATTAATAAAAAGAAGGGAACTTCCTTTTTATCAGTATTGCAGATCTCCGTCCTCCATAGCTAACACATATTGGCTGCACTTTTCTAATTAGTTACGACGTTTTATTACGTAAAATTCATGTCATAATTGATTTATGCCTCTGCCTGGCTTCATTAAATCAATCAACCACAGAACGAGTTCGATTAGGTGTCCAACTCTTTCCGCATCGTAATCATACCAGTAATGGCGTCGGGCGTGAGCTGACGTCAGCTCTAAAATAAAATCGATACTATCCGGAATCCAATGCCGGCTAATGGCCTTAGGGCCACTAGCCACGTTCGATGTTTGACCATTGAACGAGCATTGATGTTGGGGTGTATTTGTAACGCAGAAATTTGATGGATCAGCCAGCAGGGACCTTGCTGTCATATTACGCGTTTATCCGCGCTTAAATCTCCCCGAAAAAAAAAATATAAGCGCGCATTATGAGCTGAGCCTGCGATGATCAAAAACCATTTATAATGTGCATCTAAGCACTTGATCAATGATCATGCATCCCTAATTGCACGCTGCTGACATTAATATATGCACGACTAACGACTGAAAACTTATCGCATTCCTTCTGACACTTCTTTCTCTGTTTCAGCGACATGGGTGGGCGGTGGTTACATAAACGGAACAGCCGAAATCATCTTCGACAAGGGCATCGTGTGGTGCCAGGCGCCGTTCGGATATGCTCTCTCGCTCGTATTCGGTGAGTAAATTTGAGAGCGTTTGTGCGCCAAAAAAGGCACACTTCTCCAAACCGCAATAATAAATCTTTTTTTCTTCTTCTATAAATGTTACAACTTATATGAACTTTTCGGAAGTAAAAAGAAGGCCATGGAGATATCTTTCTTTCTTTATTGAGTCTCGAAGCGATTCCTAGCCGCTCGCCTATAATCCCTTCTGCACGTGACAACTGCACGGATGCCCTTTGATCCGGCGAAACCCAGCCGAGCAATCATAGTTTCTGTCATACTGGGATGGAGTGGCCACGATATGGGGCGTTGGCGTGCCACAGAAAATTACAGTCAGACGAAAAGGTTCTTGAAAGAGAATAGCCCCGGCAAAATCGTGGCCAATGTCATGGTTGATAGGTCACAGCTGATGGAAGTTTTAAACTGCAGTCGTGAGCTTCGTGCGAAGCTACCATCATATCACCGTTTGTAACGAATTAAATCACACTCTGTATTGAAACCCATGTTGAAAAGAGAATACTTCAAGCATCGATTTCAGCCAAAAAAGAACAAAACGTCCGATCAAGAACTTCAGACTTCAGAATCACTCGAAACTAGCCGACAACAACAATAAGGCGCAAAATACCAGCCTTGACAAAGGTCACGTGGCTCACCACGACCGCACCTCCCAACGCGGCAAAAACACTCAACTCCAATTCGCACATCCGTGACATCAATTAAATGCAAGACAACAAAACGACGCAGATCTAATAGCGAGTCGCAACTAAATTCACAACATCCTCCCCGCCTTTGGATTGCCTTGACAATCCAAACCTATTTTGCCTCAATCCGTCCAGCCCTTTCTCATTCGAACTGTCTATGAGGGGACAGAGGTAAGAAGAGGAGCGCGCTGCCTGCTGCTGTCAGGTGGAGGGCATCAGTCGAGTAGTCCCAAGTCATAGAGTCTCTGGACTGCCCGGGTCCTCAAGTGCCCTCCCTGGGTTCGAACCTCAGCAGACCTGATCACCCCATCTCTGCCAGGGAACAGCTTTGTGACGGTCCCCATCACCCACTTCATTCGGGGAACGTTATCCTCCCTGACGAGCACCACCGACCCCGGCTGTAGCTGACCTTGATGCGAAAACTTGCGCACTGAGTGAGGGAGGTTCCGCAAATATACATCCCTCCAGACCGTCCAGAAACGGTTCAGACGCCTCTCGCGTACCCTAGCCCTGTCGGAGAGCGCTCTACCACTTACCGCTTCTGGATCCTCCAGCAGCCTGGCCTGGAAGCCGGCGCCACGTCCAGTGAGGAAATGACTGGGCGTCAGTGGACTCTCGCAGTCGATCGCGTCAGTCACCTGAGTCAGTGGACGTGAATTCACACATGACTCAACCTCAGTCAGCACAGTCTCAACTCCACTTGAGTGAGACATCTTGTGCCGAGCGACTTCCTGAGTCCCACCTTCACGGAGCGCACCAGTCGCTCCCACCAACCGCCCCACCACGGTGAGTTTGGCACGATAAACTTCCACCGGGGAGCGAGATGTCCAAAGTACCGCTGCATCAGCTGATCGGCTCCGCTGAACGTTCGCGCGTTATCTGAATAGATAACTGACGGCAGAGTCCTTCTGGCAGCGAAACGTCTGAGCGCCATCAAAAAGTCAGCCTGTGACAGTGATCCTGTCAACTCCAGATGCACTGCGCGTGTCACAGCGCAGGTGAATAGGCACACATAGAACTTTCTTTGCGGGCAGTCCACCGCGAAAATCGGCCCCGCGAAATCCACTCCTGTGACCGAGAACGGCGGCGCACGGGTTACCCTGTCGCGAGGGAGCGGCGCCGCCGGCTCGTTACACTGGACAGCATCCTGCCGCTGACAAACCAAACACGAGCGTTTGATGCGCTTTGCCAGGCAGCGGAGACCCACGATCCAAAAGGCCGCTCGGAGTGCAGTGATCAGAGTAGACACACCACAGTGGCACATCATACGATGCTGGTCCCACACCAGCAGTTCGGCCACCCGTCCCTTTGGGAGCAAAACAGGGTGTCGCTCCTCACTGGTCAACTCAGACTCCTGAAGCCTGCTCCCGATTCTCAGGAGCCCGTCGTCGCCTATGAAGGGGGACAGACGGTATACCCTCGAACTTTTAGGTACTGGCTTGCCCCGTTGTAAGGCGCTGAACTCCGCTGCAAAGGCCAGCCGTTGTTCCTCTCGCAGCAGCAGGTGCCTGGCCGCCACCAACTCCTCGGCCGAGAGATCGCCAGTGGACCGATTGTGACGCCCAGACCGCGCGTTGTGGCGGAAGCGGTTCACCCAAGCCACCACTCTGACCGCCTTGTTCATAGACGACCAGCGGCTGCAGTCGAATATTGGGGCACTCTGTGCCGCAGTCACCAGAGCTGGGAGGCCGGCGCTCCCAATCACCGAGACACCGGCATCATCCAGCTCGCACGACAGAAGTGTTGCCTCCGGCAGCTCTTCACTGGACACGAGAGGCACTGACTCATCAGCCCCGGGACGAGCCTGAGGCGTAGCCAGCCACCTGGGACCACGGAACCACAGCTCCGATCCGCTCAGACACTCAGCCGATACTCCGCGGGTCGTCAGATCTGCTGGGTTCTCCTCCCCTGGACAATGAGACCAGTCCGACGGAGCGGTCAGACCCTGTATCTCCGTCACTCGATTTGCAACAAATTGCTTCCATCGCCTAGGCTCGCCACGGATCCATCCTAGTGCGATCATCGAGTCTGTCCAGCACCGAGTCTCTGTGTCATCAGGAAGCCTCAGAGCCTGCCTCACAAGAACGGCTAGGCGTGCAGCCAGCAGACTTCCCAGTAGCTCAAGTCGTGGCAGAGTAACACTCTTCAGTGGCGCCAACCTCGCCTTGGCCATGACCAAGGTCACCTCAACAGAGCCATCTGACTGGGAGATCCGGAGGTAGACCGCTGCCCCGTAGCCCTTAGGAGAGGCGTCACCGAAGGCGTGAATCGAAACGCCAGCACCACGGTTCCAGCCCTCAGTCGAGTAGCAGCGGGGAATGTGAATCTGCTGGAGCAGCTCCAGACCTTTCAGCCACTCCATGAACATCAGGCTGGACTCCGAGGGAAGCTCATCATCCCACCCAATACCGAGCTTCCACAGCTCCTGGAAGATGCGTTTTGCAACCATCACGAACGGAGCAACAAACCCCAAGGGGTCGAATAGCCGAGCTATGCAGCTCAGCACCACACGCTTGGTCGGAGACACATCAGCAGGGACAGTGAGGCCCTCGAACGAGAAGACGTCCTCAGCTGGACTCCAACTCACCCCCAGGACCTTCACACTCTCGAGCTCGCCTGTGCCAGAGGCAGCGTGAGCCTTGTCGAACATCACTGAGCTGTTTGACGTGCACTTCGTCAGGATCATACTGGCGTCAGCCATCACGGCCTGAGCCTCCGTCAGCAGAGCGCTCGCCTCCTGCTCAGAGTCGGCTCCCGAAAGGAGGTCATCAACATAAAAGTTCTCGAGCATCTCAGTTATCGCGCGAGAGGAGGGATACCTTGAAAGGTGATGGCGGATAGTCGCGTTCAACAAGAACGGACTGGAGCTGACCCCAAAGGTCACCCTTCGAAAGCGCATCACCCGCTTCCGACCCTCATGAATCCAGAGGAACCTGTGAGCGTCCCTGTCTTCCTTCCTGAGGCCCACCTGCAGGAAGGCTTTGCTGATGTCCGCCGTCACAGCCACCTTCCAGCGTCTGAAACGAAGCAGCACGTCTACAAGACTGGGAATCAGACACGGTCCCACCTCAAGGCAATCGTTGAGCGAGACACCATTGGGACCGGTTGCAGAAGCGTCAAATACCGGTCTCACCCGAGTCGAAGTGCTGGATTCCTTTACAACAGGACGGTGAGGCAGGTAGAAGCAAGGATAAGGACCATCCAGCTCGTGGCAGGGAACCTCCTCCACCACACCCGCCTGTTCCATCTCCTGGAGTGCCTCCGAATAGGCCACTCCCAGCTCTGGGTCTCTATCCAGCCGACGAGACAGACCCGACAGGCGCGCCTCAGCGGCGGACCTGTTCTCTTGGAGCTTCTTTTCGCTGCCAGCCTTCCACGGCAGCGCCACCTCGTACCTACCATCAACTTTGCTCACAGATGCATCAAAGTGGGTAAGCACCTCAGAATCGGTCTCCTCTGGCTCACTGATCCCAATCCCTTCGAGGGACCACAACCGTCTCAGAGACCGCTCGTGAATGTCACCAAGACACAGCAGACTTGTGGCGCTGCCCACCGTCCTAGCATCATCTGGCGCACTCACCTTACCGGAGATGATCCACCCCAGTGCGGTCTCCTGCGCCACGGGTCCCCCTTCCAGCCGAATCTCACCCTGTTTTATCAGATCCCAGTAGCAGTCCAGCCCCACCAGTAAATCTACAGTCAGTTGTCTGTCAGAGGGCGGATCAGCCAGCTCCAGGTGACTGAAGGACTGCAGCACAGCAGCAGGCATGCGTGGGCGCTGGAGTGGCATGCATATCACAGGGATCCTGATAGCCTGAACGGAAAGGGCTGTCGGAGAGGCTACATTGGAGCCAAACATCTCAACTCGGTACACATCTCTGTGCTCAGCAGATGAGCCAGTCCCTCCAAATGCCGCATAGGATACTGTCTCAGAGCCTACCCACTCGGGCTCAGCTGACTTTACGAGCCTGTCACTGACATATGTCCTATCACTACCTGTATCGAAAAGCGCAGTGGCTTCTACTCGCTGTCCGCCGCGACCTACTACAGTTACACGAGCGGTGGGCAGCACTGTGCAGCTCCTCTCTAGACCACCACTCTTGCATGACAGGGATGGATGCTGAGCAGGGTTTGAGCCACTGCTACGGATACTGCTATCACTGGCTCCTGTCGCACCCCCTTGATCGCGCTGCATACCCCCTCCATGTAGCTTGAAACAGCACACTACATTGTGCCGTCCACCACACTCAGCGCACACTGCCCCACACTTTCGTGCAGCATGCCCAGCATGCAAGCAGCGGAAACACAGTCCTGCCTGTCGGATGGCATCTCTACGCTCGGGGACAGACAGGGACTGAAGCTTGACACATACCTCAGGCTGGTGTGTCTGCCCACAGAAAGGGCACCCCGGACTCGCTCCTGACTGCAGAGCTGCTGCTGCTGGCACCCTTTCACGCGGCTCCTTCTTCCTCCTTTGCTGAGGGCCGTTTGTGGTCTTCGGTCGACTCTCGGTGGACGCAGCAGTCTCTCGAGCAGACGCCACCTGTAGTCTGCTGAACGCACAGGATCGCTCCCTGCGGTTGATCTCTTCAGACAGGAAGCTCATCAGCCAATCCAGGTCCGACTCCCTGCCACAGCCCTCACGGGCCCACTCGAGGCGAATGTCTGGGGTCAGCTTCGACAGAATCAGAGGGACCAGAACAATGCCGTAACGGTCACCTCCGACATCCAGTGATGCCAAGCTGCGAATGTGGACCTGAAGACGGTCTTGAAGTTCTCGAAGGGATGGGACGCTCGAGGATGACGCCTCCGGAACAGAGAGCAGCTGTTGAATGTGGGAGAAGATAACCACCTCCTTCCTCCCAAATCTCTTCATCAGCAGGTCGCAAGCACTGCTGTAGTTTGCTCCAGTCAGAGGCAGGCCATCAACACTCTCCTTGGCTTCACCCACGAGGAATGATCTCAGGTAAGCGAATTTGGTCACTTCAGGCAGATCAGCATTGTGCACTGCGGCATCAAAACACTCCCAGAAGGTCTGCCACTGCAGCACATCTCCTCCAAACTTTGGTAGTTCTAGTTTGGGTAGCTGCAGGTGGCCTGTTTGCGAGGATCCAAAGGAACTTGAGGGCTTCTTGCTCAGTACAGCATCAGCTCTGTTCAGCACATCAGTTATCCCCTCTCGGAACTCGGCAGCACTCTCAATATCATCTAACATTTCTGCCTCTGAAGGGAAACTGAGCTCGGCTTCTGACTGTGCTTCATCCAACAGTGCCAGTCTTTTCTGACAATCACCTTTAGCTGTCTGAAGGGCGCTTACATCAATATCTTGGCACTCGAGCAACTCCTCCAACTTACGGCGACAGCGACTCATCCATCCTCGCGCTGCCGCTCTCTTTCGAAGCTTCTCAGTGCTCATCTTGACGCGAGATCACAAAACGAAAATCAAAGATCCCGTTCCCGAGCGTTTCGGCACCAAATATAACGAATTAAATCACACTCTGTATTGAAACCCATGTTGAAAAGAGAATACTTCAAGCATCGATTTCAGCCAAAAAAGAACAAAACGTCCGATCAAGAACTTCAGACTTCAGAATCACTCGAAACTAGCCGACAACAACAATAAGGCGCAAAATACCAGCCTTGACAAAGGTCACACGTGACCGGTCGTGGTGAGCCACGTGTGGCTCACCACGACCGCACCTCCCAACGCGGCAAAAACACTCAACTCCAATTCGCACATCCGTGACATCAATTAAATGCAAGACAACAAAACGACGCAGATCTAATAGCGAGTCGCAACTAAATTCACAACACCGTTAGTGATGAGATTGTGGGGGTAAGTTCCTCTCACGGAATACAAATTCACATATGTAAGATAAGAGTGCGAGCAATTTACGAAAGAAACGAAAGAGTAGTTCTTTCTCACGAAAAAAAAACACAGTTGTGGGGAGCATATATTTTGTTGGATGGGAAACAAGACCAGACCAGTATCTCAACAATAGTCATCACCCAAAACCGGCCACCGCCACAGTACCACTGACCTCAACTGACCAGCATCATCACCTCTCCTTTCAGGCGGCATCTTCTTCGCCAACAAGATGCGCGAGGAGGGCTACGTCACCATGCTGGACCCGTTCCAAGAGGTGTTCGGCGGCAGGATGGGCGGCCTGCTCTTCATCCCGGCCCTGCTCGGAGAGGTGTTCTGGTCAGCCGCCACTCTCGCCGCTCTCGGTAGGTCAAAGGTCACACAGAGGTCGCGTGAAGGTCGTACGTGAAGGTCACGTAAAGGTCCGCGGTTGTGAATGTATGGGATGGTTTGGGAACTTTCGTGGAGTGTCTGTGAAGGATTTAGTAGGTTGTTTTAAAGTTGCGTGATGCGATCAACGGCTTAGATTTAGAGAAAGACTAGGGGATTTAGATTAGAATTAAGTCAAACGTTGTTAGCGGGTTATAAACGTGCAGAAGGGAAATATCGTGCATACCTTAATCGACTGAGTACATTCTTCGGATGCCAGGCCGTCTGATGGCATCTTAACAGGACTTATTAGTGGTCTTACATTAGTCACTGTCAGAAGGAAAATTTAATAGGAGTTGTACAAGAGCAGAAATAGCAAAGCTTGACTACTAAGTAGCTCTGCTTCCAAACCAATGTCCTCGTGTTAGCTCTGCTGAAAATTCTCGTAAGTTGTACATTCCCGGAAAATTCTACTGAAAATTGCACTCAGATGGCACAGCGTATGCGTCAGGTTTTGTTAATGTGCTGAATGTAAATTCGTTGATTTAATATCGTGTGAGTATTTGTATGACAAGTGTTCACTCATCTGAGCTGTTGTTGAACAGATGACGGAGACGAACAGACATCCCATACAGCCCAACTTGTAAAATGAAACACGATTTTTGATGGCGCTTGCATTGGTTTGCTTCTAGACATGAATTGGATCTTGACGCCACACGTATTTTCATGAATACATTTTAAGTCTCATTTCATAGCCATAATAATATCAATTAAAATGCCAAACACCAGGCTGCAAGTGATTGCTAAAAACCTTCAAGACTACCGGCACCTCTATCCGCACTAAAGATGCCCAGTCTGCACTTGATAACGTCATCATCAGCTGACTATACCGCAGCGTCATCTACGCCCCGTAATTCCCCAAACCTTGCCACAATACAGGAGCCACACTCAGCGTGATTCTCAACTGGGAAATGGAGCTATGCGTGATAGTGTCCGCCTGCATTGCCGTATTCTACACGCTGTTCGGAGGACTCTACAGCGTCGCCTACACGGACGTCGTTCAGCTGCTCTGTATATTCTTAGGACTGGTAAGCGCGTCACTGTCCGCGAGGCCGCGGGTTCGAATCCCACCGCACGATCCGTGCTTTTTAGAGATGGTGTTAGAGTGGTAGTTTCGGTGTTCTATTAGTTGAGTAGAGAATAGAGGAAAGGGGAGAAAATTGAGAAAACAGAGAGATCCAATGATCCATCAATGTCTGATAGTTAAGTTGGCGTTCTACCGCGCGTGACTGTGCGTGATGGATAGATGTTTGTAGTGCCGGATTAGCTGGTTGCATGTAATGGAAATCGATATTTCCAAAACGGTTTTCCAATCAAAACAAATCCGAAGTGGTTAAAACAGCTACACACATATTTGTAAACACAACACCATTAGATTTTCACGTGGAACATCAACGTTTCCTCCTTTGTCCTTGAGGATCCTTAAAATCAAAACCAACCAGTGCAGATAATCAAAATCAAAAGGAAACCAAGACTATATATAGCCTTATAATCTAAGACTGTCTATCGCTTTTAGTGCTTTAGCGAAAAGCGCACAGGAAGCATCAGTGCCTTGGCCAGCCGAGCCGGCTGGAAATATCATCTCACTCTCGAAGTTACTTTTTCACGACTTTCTAACGACATTCTCTTCATTCTTACCTCGTCTCGTGCCGTATTTATTTGTGCACTTACGGCGATCCGCCAGGGTTACATGATCAGACTAAAGATAATGCGCGAATGCCTCAACTATATTGAAATATGATAAAATCACATCATTTCAATCATGTGCTGTCACCTCTACTTTATCTAGGTTGTAATGCAAAGATGCGTGGTGAAATTATTATGCAATAGCATAGCTTATTCAGTAAATGACTGATTGACCCAAACTGAAATGACTTCGTCGATTTCACATTGAACGCCGTGCCATTTATTCATCCACTCCGCCAAAATGCAACAGTCTCAATGCTTCTACACAATTTCGCAAATGTCTGCTGCCGGCTTCTTCAATTTTTCACAAGTGATCTTGACTGCGGCTTCCGGGTACCGCCTCATTTATTACCTGGACATGCTCTCGCAGGACCATGGAACCACCTGCTCCATAGGAAACTCCGCAGCTCCGCCACTTCTGAACTTGGGTCACGTGTGGCCGCCCGACCTCGCGACACCTGGGACACCAGAAACGGAGAAGTCATGGCCGCTGGGAGACGTGGCGATGCTTCATATGAAGAGTTGTGGCTCTCCAGAGAGGTGGAAATCATCAACAGTACCAAGAAGTCTGGCTATTTCAGAGCAGCTGCACCGTCCGGAACATATAAATCTTAATCTAATTTTGTATAGCTTGTAAAGTTCCAGACGCATGTCGAGGCGCCAACAACACGAACAAGTATTCCGTCTTCCATAGATTTGTTTTTCTTCTTACCTCTTTTTCACTAATGATCGTTCACAGGTCCTGGAGAACTGCATTCGCCTGGTTTTCACAGGAGATCGTTCACAGTTTTTCAAGACCCATCATCTTTCGAACATCTTAGGCGCACCATCTCAAATCAGCTTGATTAAGTTTCTTCAAGCCCTAACTTTCACAGCTCCGTAGCAAGAAACACCTCTTCAATATTCAATCTTCATCCTTTCAAAACGCACCGTCTCGCACGTTCCAACACTATCATTGACCTCCCATCCGGCAGGCGCGACCCTGAATGTCATACTGCAGGTGGGCCACGAGGCCAGTGTCATCCTCTCCGCCTGTATCGCCGTCTTCTACACGCTCTTCGGCGGTCTCTACAGCGTCGCCTACACGGACGTCGTTCAGCTCATCTGCATCTTCCTCGGCCTGGTGAGCCGTCCAACAAACGGCCTGGCTTTCCGCGGCGTCTTCAGCTTTTCCTGCGTCTCTCGGGTTTTCCTGCAGCCCTTCGGCATCTGTATTGCCTCTTGACTCTCGAGAGCACTTCTGCTGCAGCACCGTGTGTTTGCCCTTCGCACGAATGCGTTTTCTGCAAAAACATTCTTCGCTTCGATCTAAGAACGGTTACATTTTACTATCGTCTTGTTTTGACTTGCGAAAGGGTCTTAAGTGTTCTTCCTTTGCTAAGTGATCTTTCATCACAATGTGCTTTTTATTTCTAAAATGTCGGCAGCATTGGTCCGGCTTGATATTATTTCCTTTTACACAATGCAATATACATATACCTTCCATCTTAGGTACTACATTGGGCTAATATTTTCAAATTCCATTGCATGCATCTTTCCATCTGTTTCGAGCTTCATACATTATTATCCTTTTTATGCATTGCACAACCGCCTGCATTATCATCATTTTTTCTTATTCGTCATTCATCAATTCGTTCATTTCCTTATTTACTTATGCGCTCACGAGATGTGTTTATAAAAATAGGCATATGAAATGCAAGGCGTGATGAGAGGATCATTAAATTTGACGCTTCAAACTTATGACATATTTTTCTTTATACATATAAGCTAACATTTCGAAAGATGTCAAACAATGAATAGTCGTAGCATGGATTTACAAACATTAGCATATGGGACCTTTCACGGAACAATACCCCATCCAGTATCCACTTATGTTGGCTGAAATGGGCACATGGCACAATCATCGATCAGTGAATCATTAGCAAGCGTCCAGCAAACCCGGCTCCGAGTTGGTCGGATAGCACACCCACCCACAGCACTGTTGTCCTAAGGTTGTGCCTATTTCTACCCTCCCACGTCTCACCCACGCTTCTAAAAGCCCCGGCATACACCCTACTTGGTCTGTTGCAATTACCCGACATTTGTGTCCAATATTTCCACAAGGATGTCACTCCGGAAATCACAATAGCTACCACACCCACATATCGGAAATCGAGTAGACCCTCAACCCCGTCCTTACCACACCAGGCGTAGGGCGGGGAGCACTCCCCCTTCCCTCGCGCTGCGGCCGGGGGGGGGGGGGGAGGGGCGGCAGACGGGTGTGGAGTCTATGGGGGATCGCTGGCGGGTCGGAATCAATAGCGGCATTGACCCAGTAGTGGTGGTGCAGGAGTCGCCGATTGGCCAGCGTCTACTGGCCAGGTGTCAGCCGGGCCCAGGCACCTCCGCTCCAAAAATAGCTCCGCGTGAGCAGTAGCACCCCGCCACCGGCGAATACCCCCGGGGGCTGGCGTGAGGACACGTCAGGTGGGCTGCCGAGCGGTTAGTTAGCGGCGTTCAAGTGATGTCTTAGGGCTGTGATAGTTAAAGGTAGTGTGCCACCTTTGAAAGATTTCCCATTTTATTTTTCCTAGGATAAGAAGCTTCTGTTTTTACATAATATCGCAAAAAAAAAATCAAAAATGGGCCTGGAATAGTGCCTTTTTCGCCTAAAAGTTTTTCGGTTTTTAGATATGTATAACAACTGTAGTGGGCTCACCTGCAAACAGGCGTCGGGCAACAATCGCGAATGCGGCGCACTTGTGACAATAAGCAAAGGTCATTATAGTGTTACGACCATACGACGTACGGGAATGAGTTATCAGCTGTCTAATCGTAGACAACACAATGTCGAGCCTTAAACTGTAAGCCCGTATTGGTATTGTTTCTTTTATTTGGCTGTCGAACATTATTTATGGTTTGAAATATGATTTTATGTAAAATAATTGATATGAAAAAGCCGTCTTATAAGTTATGACCCCATTTCACCACACGCAAGTGGCAGAAATGACAATGATCAGCTGACGCATTTTTCTTGGCCGAAGTCAGAGCGCGCGGCCCGACGCACCACGCGTATTTGGAAATTCCGACCTCGACGAGCATCAGAAGCCACCTAACAGGCGTGTTCGAAACCGCAGGAGATGATGATGAACGGGTTTATCGAAACTTGATTGGATGAGCATATCGGTAATAGCGATTTCAGTGTGTGCATTTATTGTTCATAGTGGTGTGAAATGTGGTTGGGGTACGACCGACAACCCGTCGGGGCGAATTTCGCACTGGGGTACTCAAAATTTGAAGAATTTAAGACGTTTCCATGAGTTTTGAAGGTATGGATAAGTTCTAAAAATCCGGTTCTCCTTATCTGGGCCATTAACTCCATACGGTCCAAGAAAGCTGGCACACTACCTTTAATTAAACTCTGGGTTTGTGGTGTATTGAGGACATACCTATGTACAAGACTCCACACAGAACAAGTACAAGACAAGTGTTGGACATCAATTTTAAGCGATCTAAAGATACAATTACATCCCAAAGTACCGAAATAAACATGTTTTTACGAAAATGAATCATCGTAAAACATTTACATTCCCAATTCTTTTTCTGCTATGACTAAATGTATATTGTACAATTACAAACATAGGTTAGCATGAGATTTCTGTCGGAAGCATGATGAATGAAAGGAACAGCATGTGAAAAATAGATTACAGTTTTTGCATGACATTTATTTTTGCTATGTTCGGTAGATGATCTGAACAAATGAAGATTTTGTGCGACATTTTGAAAGGAAAGAAGCATGCAAATTAGATGTATTCCAACATATGTCCTTAAACTCTTACAATTGTTGCATAAGTTTGATGGAAGCACAAGCGGATCAGCGATAGCGTAAAACAATTGTGTGTTCATTAACTGTAATCTGTGATAATCATTATGGCTTAGCATTCCTCTGATTTGCTACTGTTACTTTTACAGCAGTGGATTTTATAAAATCATACTGATGTAACTGCTATTCATTTGTTATTTCGTTATCGAATGTTATCCAGCCCACAAACATCTGCGTATCATTAACTCCTCAACCCTCTCCCTCTCTCTCTCTCTCTCTCTCTCTCTCTCTCTCTCTCTCTCTCTCTCTCTCTCTCTCTCTCTCTCTCTCTCTCTCTCTCTCTCTCTCTCTTCCGTCTCTACAGTGGCTCTGCATCCCATTCGCGTGGAACCATGAGGCTGTGGGAAAGGTGGAGCCCGAAGATATGGACTGGATTGGCTCCGTGGACGGCAAATGGGGCTACTATTTCGACTATTCGCTGCTGCTCATCTTTGGAGGCATTCCGTGGCAGGTGAGAATCGACAAAATCTGTCACGGCTGGATTTTGTTACGAGATAGGAATTTAAAACGTTTGTAAGGTCAAATGATCCGAAGCTAAAGGATGGTGGAACTCGGAATATCGGAACTGAAATATGATGGCGCAGCGCGCTTCGGTACGACTGGGTTGTGACGTAGAAAAACATTTCCCTAGGTATGTGGACAAGGTTTTTCGGTTTTGGCCCGTTTATGGTGAGCTGGGTCTCGGACAAAGAAAGAAAAGAAACTAGGCGAGTAATGACTTTCATTGAATCCTCGATCATCACGTTCTTCAGAATGAAAATTTAATGTAACTTATCCCTTCTTCCCGCAGGTGTACTTCCAGCGCGTTCTGAGCAGCAAGAGTGGCAAGAAAGCTCAGATATTGTCCTACATCGCCGCCTTCGGCTGTGTCATCATGGCCGTGCCGCCCATTCTGGTCGGAGTCATCGCCAAATCGACCGGTGAGAGACAATGGTGACGTCACTGGAGGGTGTAATCTGACGTCACTGGCGGATACGACCAGGGAATAAAGAACAGAGGAAGGGGCGATGCTTTGCTTTTTTTGTATTTGTGAGTTACACAGGCATGTGCAAGGACTGATGGAAAGATAAGAAGTGTCTTGAAACTGCAAAGGTTATGAAACAATAACAGAAACGTCATTTTGATTTACCGACTATTACATTTATCCGTCAAGACATACGCTATTGATCGCAACAAATACGAATATGAAATGCAAGAGACAGGCTATATGTATATATTTGTCCTATCCCACTACATAAACAATAATACCTACTTACTGATTCAAAAATAACGTTTTCTTTTCTTTGACAGATTGGAACCAGACGATGTATCCTGGAGCCAAGCCGATCGTTCCCCCTCACTCGGCCATGATTTTACCGATCGGTGAGTGGGATGGGATTATGTTGTCTGTGGTTAGTGTGGAGAGTTCCACAGCTATCTAATCGTTACAAGCACTTACTTGTCTGAATTGTTACATATGTTACATATGCCGTATTACAAAGGGCTGATGTGCATGCTAAGCACAAGCTTTGAAAACGTTTCTGCATCCATTGCAGAGAAACGCTCTCTCTCCCTCCCTCCCTCCCTTCCTCTCTCTCTCTCTCTCTCTCTCTCTCTCTCTCTCTCTCTCTCTCTCTCTCTCTCTCTCTCTCTCTCTCTCTCTCTCTCTCTCTCTCTCTCTCTCTCTCTCTATCTCTCTCTCTCTCTCACTCTCTCTCTCTCCCTCCCTCCCTCTCTCTCTCTCTCTCACTCTCACTCTCACTCTCACTCTCACTCTCACTCTCATTTATCCCTAATCTCAGCCTGAAAGCACCATGCAGTGAATTTGCAATGCATGAGCTCGCCGTTCCTTTCCGCAGCGTCTGCAGAAGCTAACGAAATCCACTGGCAACAGCTTCATCTACATGCTAAGTGGCTACTTTTAGGAAGGCCACTCTCCTCTCTGTTTGGTCAGAGCAGCTAGCACCGCGCTTCATTTGAACGAAATATAACGCCGGGGACTCTTAGACTAATGCAATTTCACCCTATAGGCTATAACCGCACTAAATTCGAAGGTAACTAACTGAATGTTTTTTTTTCTACAATGAATGATATGAAGGAATTGGTGTCCACACGATGAGAGATGGTCGTGTAATCTGTTTTTTTTTTCTCTTCCGTTTCCAGTTCTGCAATACCTGACTCCGAGTGCGGTCAGCTTTTTCGGCCTGGGCGGCGTTTCAGCCGCTGTCATGTCATCTGCGGACTCTTCGGTGCTGTCAGCTTCGTCCATGTTCGCCAGAAATGTCTACAAATTGATCCTGCGACCAAACGTGAGATAACGCGCCGGTCACCTCTCGGGAGGGACGCTATTGGTTGTCATCGTTTCTGTTTTGGTCCTACATAAAAGATCAGTTTGATAAAAAAGATAGCGGTAAACACTGTTGTTGTCTGTTTCTTGCTTTGGCCATGCCGCCAGTCGCACATACTTCCATGCAAGTGTCCTTATGCAGTGTATGTATGCGTGATAGCTATTACCCTCTTTTGTTTCATATCTTCCTCTAATTGGTCGTTCAATACTTACCTACTGCCCAACATTTCTACCGACCCATTACCCAAAAAGATCCACGGTTCTCCCACCTTTTCTCCACCTCGACCTCACACTCCCCCCCCCCCCTCCTGTTCGTCTCGGAGCGTCGCCAGCTGGCCCAATTACAGCTGGCTGACAAAGCTCTCTGATTGGTGCTAGCCAATCCAATCTGTCCCCAGGCCATTGAACAGAGCGGGCTGAGATCAGCGGAACACATTGTGCCACCACCGCTAAGTGCTCTCGCAGCAGCGTGGCATTCCCAACAACATGCGCGTGTTTTCGACGCCCACCAAACGATTATCGGCTGCGTTGCTGCGTGTTTTCGCTTTCGTATTCGACGCGCGATAGGCTGAGGTGTCGATACGAGGGCGGTTTGAATATCCGCAGCCGCTCGTGTATCTTCGCGGGGAACGGCAGCGAAAGCCGCGAGGCGTTCTAAAGAGAAATTTAGAGATATTATGCGCGATATCGGTATCACGTGACACATTTCTAGAGTAAAAAATGATCTTTGAATGTTATGCGAATAGAACGTTTGCGAAGGCATCGAAGAAAATTGAGATTAGACTTGTGTGTTTGAAAATGCAGATTTATTGCAAGGGCACGTCAATCACAGCTTTATGGCTTTGTTTAGTTCTGCTACAACTCTCACGTTTTAAATCACTGCTGTTTTGTAAAACTATTCGACGTAGAACGAGCGAGTGTTTTCACGACCTCTTGACCAAACTAGCAGCGTAAACAACTCTGAACGCGCTCCTCATTGGCCTCGTCAGATAAATCTAAGAAGTAATCTGGTCAGGACTTTGTTGTTTCGAATATCTCCCCGACAGTTATTTGGCATCTGTATTTCTCAGGTGTACTTACCATACGCCACGAGTTCCTGTCCATTTGAAGAGAATATATTATACTATTTTTCCTGTCCATTTGAAGAGAATATATTATACATTTTCCTGTCCATTTGAACAGATGTATATTATACTATTTTTCCTGTCCATTTTTATCCTGAAACCTTTAGAGACGCCATTATCAGCACGCATCCTGCAAAATTGTAAATCATCCGCCCTTATATTTCTGTCATTTCTGTCGTCGGCCCTTCCATTTCTGTCAGTTCCGTCATCCGTGTTATTTTAGCCATTTACCTGCTGATGTGTTTTTCCGTAATTGGTGGCTAAGACGGTATTTTTCTGGTGATTTCAGGCCTCGGAGACGGAAATAATCTGGGTGATGCGAGTCGGTATCTTCATAACAGGAGCACTGTCGACAGTAATGGCACTCACTATACCAACCATTTACGGACTTTGGTACGTAAACGTATACAACAATAGAGCGTTTGAAAGCAAACATTGGGACCAAAACTCGATTTCACATGAATTAATGGTGATTGATTGTGACCCCCAAGTGATTTCGTTTCAATATTTAAAATGATCATTAAAAAAGATGCTGATATTTTCGATCAACAGCCGTCCAAAAAGGCATAGACGCATTAAATTCATTAGATTATGCGGTCTTTCTGTTAACACAAATGCGGTCTTTTTGTCTGCACACGGGATTGAATAAGAACGACATCGCCGGAAGTTGTCGGTAACTCAATTTGTTCAATTGGCCACTCATTTACAGAGTAACGCAAATAGAAGCAATCAATGACGAGATGCAGCGAAGGAGAGTTCCGGTTCAGTTAGCGTCATTTAAAATAATTGGGTTATATCGTGGCCGATAAGCATTATTAACCAGTATAACGCCTTTTGGGGCGACTAACGGAGCGAGCGAGAGGGTGGCCTTGCACGTGCGAAATTGCGAGGGGGTACCTCCAACTGACTTGTGCACGGCACCCTACTAACCGGTCTCTAGCGATGTGCCAAATTTGAGCACAATCGGCCCGGCCGTTCTCGAGATCTGGTAGCGGCACCCTGCACGTGCGCACGTGCAAAATGGGTCCCAACTCCCAACTGACTTGTGCACGGCACCCTACTAACTGGTCCCTAACCGTGTACCAAATTTGAGCGTAATCGGTCCAGCCGTTCTCGAGATCTGGAAACGACCCCTGCACGTGCGCACGTGCAGCAGCACCCCAACTCTGGCACATGGATATGCATTGCCTAGCGGATGCCTACCTACATACCAACTTTCAGCGCAATCGGCCAGGTAGTTACCGAGATATTGCAACAATTACAAAACTGACACCTCTTCGTTTTGCACGTGGCACGTGCGTAAGGGGTCACCCACATGCATCGGGAATAGTCCAATACTTGGTAGAAGGAATGAAGCTACCCTACAAAAATTACCGCGTGTAAATCGGTCAAGTGGTTGCTGAGATATAAGCCTCACGCGGCCGGCCGCCGCTCATACTCAGAAATTTCCGTTAATCTAAGGAAAGACTACGCTCGCTTCGCTCGCTCCGTAATCATCAGAAACGTGATAATAGCACTGACTGTTGAAGGTATAAATAGAGCCGCTTGTAAATCATGCGTCGTGGTCATTAGAGGCTAGAGCAATAAAACTGATGGCATAATTTCCAAAGCCGTCATAGTGCCATAATAGAGCAAAATCGCATTAATCAACTTCGTGACTACTCGTGTCGGTAAATGAAATACCGATCACAACGGTATGCATCGTATTCCGTAAAATTCCGGTAAGATACATTTGTTGACGCTAGAAAGGAAGGCTTTACATTTTACAATATTTTCTTCTTCTTTTTCACAGGGGCCTCTCTTCTGATCTGGTGTACTGTATCCTGTTCCCGCAACTGTGCATGGTGGTCCACTTCAAGCACCATTGTAACACGTACGGCTCGCTGGCCGGGTACATTGTCGGTCTGATGGTGCGCCTCTCCGGAGGTGAAGACGTGATGAAAATACCACCACTGATACTCTACCCAGGTGGGTGAGCGATGGGTCCTAGTTGGTATTGGGCTGGTAATGATGTGATGATCGATTTCTAATTGTAAAGGCTTATTAGGTATCTGGTTTTGCAATGAATGTTGACTGGTAACTTTATGTGTAATGTTTAAACATAGCTAGTAATAGCAGAACCGATAGATTGAATTGGTATTCTTAATTTTACTTCACTTTTTAATTTGTATTCCTCAAATTGTGACTATAATAGAATTGTTATGCATAGGGCTTTTAAGCCATGCATTCGAACTTGCGAGTTTTAAAATTCACGCTTCCTGACTGAAGAATCGCTGGACAAGGGCACTTGGTAAAACTGACGTTTTTACACACCGTCGTAATTAATCCATTTTTATTATAAAATGAATCAAGCTCCATGATTGTCACGGACGTCGCCTGACGATTCTCTGTGTTTTAGGGTATAATTACGAGACCAAGGAGCAAATGTTCCCGTTCCGAACGCTGGCCATGGTCATGTGCGGCATTACCGTCATCGTCGTCTCCCGATTCACCAAGTAAGTGTTGATGACGTCACTGGTGGAATGGGATGCTGTCATGGTAATGTCAGTGTTGTTATTGGAGGTTAATCTTCAGTTTCTTAGCACTATGGTTACTTAAGATTTATCCTCTGTTCACGTAAATTTTACAATTTCACATAAAAACAAAGGAAGATCATTTTCATGCCGAAAATGCTTATTGCTTCAACATTTTTCGAAGGTGATTGTATGCCCTACTCTTTTGCGACAATAAGACATAAACCCAAACATTGTTTTATTGTAGACAAATGTAACGCAGGATATTTCAAAGACATTTGAATTATTGATCCAGCATCACATGTTATACATCGCAGCTCATTAATATTCATTGCTTATTATCTTATTCAAATCATTTGATCTCCTCATTAGTGCCTACCTACCAACTAGTTTCAATCAGCAGATCCAGCAAAATTAATGTCTCGCTACACTGAAAAAGAACACTTCCCCAGGACAAACCTCTAATATTGATTTACTATCTCCACTTTTGGTTTTATCTTCTCCCAATGTTTACCCAGAGCCAACATTTACCAAAGGATCATACTGTTTGCTGGCTCGGCAGGAAAGTAGGGGCTCAATAGTTTTTGAGACAGACCCGAGCTTGAGCTGAGTTGACCGGTTGTTTGTGTTTCCTCGCTGTTGTTTTCGGCCGCGAGCGTTTTAAAACCCGCGCCCCGTAGGGCTACCGGCGGACCCTACCACCCGTAGGGGGGGGGGGGGCCGTTTCGGCCCCCCCTAAGATCTCGGAAAGTTACCGGCCGATTTTCAAAATTCAAACGGCGTTCGATAGCCCCACCCGGGAACTACCTTGTGACCAAATTTCATTGACCTAGGTCAAACCGATGACGTCACAGGTCAGGTCAAAGGTCAGATTTTCACCGTTCACAGGCAATTCAAGAAATGTGCTGTGAAAGCGAGTAAATTGGTAATTTATTGAAAACCATCGATGGTACATTGTTCGTCAAACACATACTTTGCTATCTGAGGTCACTGATACCAGGTCAGGTCACAGCGAGGTCAGGTCACCGGGGGTCACAATATGAATGTGTCGTGTGATACATGTTTTATGGTCCATTTTACATGACAAATGCGATTAAGTGGGTTAGGCAGCCTTTGGGGCCAGCCTAGGTCACGTTTTTGTGAAGGTCAGGTCAAGGTCAGGTCAAATTAGGTCAAATTTCAAAGTTGATATTTTTGCATTAAATGGGTATCGATTCGATGCAGCTCGTCACGGGGAGTCTAATGGTGGTCTTCGTTTTGCTCTACGAGTTCTAGAATTGCCAAAAATTGAGTTTGAAAATTTGACGTCATCATTTTTGAACAGTTTTTTCGCTATAACTTGGCCAAAAACCGAGGTATCGATCTGAAATTTGGTATGTAGATAGAAGACGGTAGGCACTATCACATATATTCCGGTTTTTTCGAAACTCAAAAACTTTTTGGATTTTTTGGCGAATATATCCAAAAAATGCTTTTTTGATTTTTGGGGGTCAAAACTCAAAAATTTCAAAAATTCGAGATAGCAGTTTTGTAGCCCTGTCAATTCTATACCTTTTATGTTTTGATCATTTTTCTGTATCATCAAAGCTGTAGTCCTGACAGGTCTTCTCGCGAAGGTCTTTTTTCGGTCGAAAATGACAGAACATGACGTCACTCTGACGTCATTTGTGGCCAACCTATCATAGCCTCTGGAAAAATTTTTGGTCACAATGTGTAAAATTGATGCCCGGAGGGGTCCTGAAAGTTTGGTGGCGATATCTCCAGCCGTTTAGGAGATATCGACCGAAAAGGACAGGGGGGGCCGTTTCGGCCCTCCCCTACGGGGCGCGGGTTTTAAGAACGGAAAGAACCAACGTTGCCCAGAATCTGTAGAAAATCATTGGCCGATTTATAACAGGGAGCCCTATTTTGCGCACAGCATTTCGCCAAAGTTGTCGTTATCAATGGATAAAGAGGCTCTGCTGTCCGCTTAAAATGCAAATGGAGGGACTTACATACTAAGCACCAGATAGTTAACGAGATCGTTACCATGTTTCACCGAATGACACAAACATTGCAGTTGTGTTGAGTTCGGGAAACGGTGCGAAACTCTAGATATTTTGTCTGAATAATTTCATAATTTTCTAGTACTGCAAAAAAAAGAAATATTTTTCATTTATAAAGTTTTTCCTAACAGGTTGGACATTTGAAAACGATGAATTTACATGAGCACATAATTATGTGGGAGCTATCGTTTGTTCGCTGAATATTTAGGCTAGCTCACACTATCAAATATCAAAACCCCTTGATATGTTTGCATTTACTCCAAAGCAGAAAAGAAATTCGTCAACATTCAGAAGTATTCAGAGGTAGAGCTACGACTTACTCCCCCGTCTCACCCACAGATACCTCTTCGAGTCGCACATTCTGGCGCCGAAGTGGGACGTCTTCAAGTGCGTCGTCAACGTTCCCGATGACGTCCAGAAGTTCCCCACACCACCAGAAGGTAGGCGTTAGCTCCGGCAAGTTCAGCACTTCCTTTGCGGCGGGCGCCGGAGAAGCACGGTCAGCGACATTTGAGAGTTATCTCCTAACTTGGCTCGGAGATTCTTGGAATTCCAAAGACGGCCTGCGGAGTTTTGCTGGGAGGAAAATTATGGCCACTATTGACGAGCTCCCAACGCCCACTTTGCTGAACGGGGAAATGTTAGTTCACTGCCTTCGAATGCAAAACATGCTATGATTGGAGTTAGCTGAAGTTGCATCAGTGTAATTCATTGCCAGCTCGTCGATATTGCGCTCGACAAATCGTAGAAGACTCTCAACTACATACTCTTGCGTGCGACGATATATCACTTAGATCGACGATCATTCTGGCTATATCAATAATCCACCAAGTCGTTATCTAAAACTGCCTCGAAAAATATGACCGGCAACGAAATCCAATATGGAACTAACCCAACTTCGACCATCTATCCGAGCTTCAGGAGCCAATTGGCTTCCTGGAACGGTCTCAATTATACTGAGAATGGGTGTTCTATTATGGTCGTGCTCGACCCCATTCAAAACTATGTCCCATCAGAAACGTATTTCTATTCTTATGACGCGCCACGCGATCAGCACCTTAGCGGAGGAAACTTTCCGTTGTCATCAATTTTGAATTTGTCATATACTTTGAACACTGACAGAGCTCATCCAAATGTGATGTAGCGTAATAAGATTAGCGTGGCATAGAAAACATTTTACGTTTATACGGTGTAACTTTAGTGTTTTTCTTCGTGTTACACGCATACCTATTTTCTGCAAATATGTTACATTTCATTTTCAATGATAAACATTGATACTTTAACGTCTATTCAAACTGTACGACACCTCAGTTTCGTGTTTCAAAGTGACAAACACCCACGCGCTTTCTTCCCTGACCATCCTCCCCGCTCCGTTCCCAGGTGAACTAACGGTAATGAACTCCGCCGCCGTCCAGAAGTACGCCGCCACCGAGGAGATCAATGAGATGAACGGCAGGGTCAACCCGGCGCTCACACTCTCCGACTCCGATGACGAGGATGCCCCTCCGCGCGCTACGCACAAGACCCGCAAAAGAACGACCAGCACCAGCCAGTCAGGAGGAGGAGAGGGCGGCAAGGGAGCTGGGGGAAGAGGAAGTGTCTCCAGCGCCGCAGCAGGAGGGCCGGTTAGAGAAGGAAGCATGTCCAGCGCCAGAAAAGCAAACATCATCACGGCGAATGGGTCGAAGGAGGGGAAGATCGGTCAGACCAGTCTGTAAGGTAGAGAGGAAGCATTACGAGTCATTTTATTCCACCAAAATGACGAGGAGAGGTCCTATATTACATCTGTTTAACCTAGTGAGACATGCTCGATAATCAGGCGGCCTCAAGACGCGGCTCCAGCGCACGTCAGATCCTTATTGAGATAACTAGGCGACTCAGCGCACAGTCTAGTTGTCAGTAAGGTGTCGAGCGAGCAAAGCGAGCCCAGTACGACGAAGACAGGCGAAAAGTCTACGAACATAACATAGACTCTTCTTTAAACCAGCTTGATGTCCACCTAAGCCCAGCATGCTGAGCAACGTAATGGTTTTCTGCCTTACCATTCGCTAGTAAGCCGTGTCGTACCGTTTTAAAGACCAGCAAATGTGACCCAACCATACTGAGCAAAAAGCTACTGTGTACCTAAGCTTACCCTACGTCGGTGTAGCTTTGGCTCTACATAAGTGGATCTGAATGTTCCTTTTATTTAGCTACCTCGCAGGGCTCTCACAACCAGTTGATGGATCAGCTGTCGTTGTGAGGTCTCTTCAGGCGGATACCCTTGGGATTCACCGCTAATTGATTTGACCGTAGCAATCTAAAACTCGGAGATAGTCAGCAGGACACAGTCTTGCAGCTACAAAAGGAGCAGAAGGCATTAGCTGCAAACAGTAAGGAGCCGTGTTTTCGAAAAGGTATCGATTCAGTTATTAGTCATCAGTAAGAATTCTCAAAAGTTTTCATTCTAAGGAGTAAATACTCCTACATCAATTTTTTTTAACATTTTTTTTTCTTGACTGGTAAAGGACCTTCAGAACATCGGACCACCTGTTTCAAAAAAGAAGTTCTCATAAATGAGTCAAGCGCATTGTCTAATGCGAGCAAAAGTGCCACGCCACCGGAAAGAAACATATCATATAAATGCACAATTAACGTTAGATGACCTGTGTAAAAGGTGTTGTACCAAGCTATTGCTGTTTAGATAAAGCTGTTGCTAAATTGAGAATCGTTTACCAATCGTTCCGATGCCTTGAGAACATATCATCTGTTCGTTCTTATTCATACGTTGCATACACTGTAATTGTTGTATAATTATCGATGTACGACATAAAGCATCGTATTATTGGTCGATCACAGTTATTGATCAAATGTTATCATCCTCCAGTCGTTTAGGCTACGATTCCGCCCCAGTAAACATATCAGCGTTCGTGTTGGCTGTTCACTAGCTGTCGTCAAACGCATTGTTATAGATCAGTACGCAGCGTTCGTTGATCTGATTGGTGCTCAGGCCGTCTGTGTGCTGCGTGAGCAGCCGTGCGCAGCGCTGTTAGAACACGTCTCATCGGGATTCGTCAGGGCCGATGGTGACAGTGTTCTCTAGCTGCTTACGTTGTCAGGGTATCTCGCTCCTGATTGGTCGCTGTGTCGGACAGTCAGCTGGCCACGCTAGCTCGCTGTTGTGATGTTGACTGTTCAGGGCTCTACGAGTATTCCTGGTCCCGTCAGAAAAACGTACGCAATGTCGGATTACGTTGTAATTGCGCTTGGCTGTACAGTTACGCAAATGTTGGTGTTAGGCGACTGAGCACAAAATGGTGCTGTGTTGTTACGTTTTGTTGTGTATCATACTGGATGATTGTAGGGTATTTTATTTGCTTGGTACTGTCGCGGTGTTATGTATTTGATAGTCGGAAGTTTATCCCGGCTGTCTCGCGAGAGCCAGCGTAGCTATGTCAGTGTACTGTACTCGGTGTTGGAGAAAGCAATATGTGTCGCAAAAATACGTGTATAAAAGTAATAGCTGAATAGCGACGGGGCCATAGTCCCAGTTTTATGTTATCGCTTGGTGAAAGGCAGCCGTGACATTATCTGAATGAATTCGCATCGGGAAGAGAGAAAATTAATTACACGTGGAGGTAGACAAACATTTAACACGTGAACATGATCATGAAATGATGTTCCCTATACTACAAGAAATAGCAATTCTAGCAAACAACGTCAAGCACAAACTTTCCTCTTCGCCTGAACATCCGATCACGTGCGACAACATATCGTAAAGATTTGCCACCAACTTGAAACTTGCAAAGATATTCAGCTCCACCCCTGGGCACCTCTCAAACTCGCCAAATCTCTGTCTGGTCCAAAGCGTGCAAATAATTGCTTCAGAATGTCACGTGAAGCAATGAATAGCACAACCTCGCGAATTCGTGTCATAGGTATAGGGTATACTGATGTGTGCTTTGTGTAGTGCGTAGTGCATTGTGTGTAGTGCGTAGTGCATAGTTTGTGTTGAAAAGTAGAATATTGCGGCACGTGACACGCAGGTCGTGGTTGCCGCTGTTGTGCCGAGTAAGAGAAATACACTGTTTTGTAGAAGAAAAACGACTTATGAACAGAAAGTTGATCATCTGCCGCATTGAATATGTGAGGAGGTGAATTCAAAATTGTTTCTCAACACACACAAAATGCCAAAATCCGAAGGTATTTGAATTTTGTTACGCGTGTGATGGAAACAGGTTCTTCATTGGTAAAGGAATTTATTAAAAACGTTTACTTTAAATTGCTCCTAAACTCAGAAAAATCCGCAGCTTGGAAAAATGTTCAACGTTACCAAAAAGAAGGAGTGTTGGGACAGTTCCAACTTCCAATAGCTTAGCGCCCAGGTTGAAACCTACCTCTTAAATCAACCTTGGCAGTATTCATTAGTTCTTAGCATTGATGACCGAAATGCGAACTTCAAATGTCGAGATCGAGAACAATGTTTTATAGCAGTTTTGATATTCTAGAAAGCAAGGGGAATCAGAGCAAACCATGACGTTTGACATGATGTTTTATGTGTATTTCGTCAGATGTTTCGAATAACTTCGACCACTACCGCCATATGAAAGACGATACCATAAATAGGGCTACTCACTACGAATACTTGATGTGACACATCCACACTTACTAATGACACAAACACGACTCGAACCCTAGGGGTACAAGGAAGTGAAATGTAACATTCGATTGTTCCTTATCATTCTCTAAGCCTCTACGAAAAACATTTTCTCTCCATAATTTCTTCCTTATCGCCAATAATAAAGCAACTGAAAATCTGTCGTTCCATTCACATTTCACTTCAGTTAGAGCATTTTCAGATTAAGCAGTCGTTTTAGTTGGACGCATGTTCAAATCGCTCACAAAACAGCTGCACACATGTAATTCATGTAGCAACTGATCACATCATGCTTAGCAATCACTCCATCCAACAGTGTACATTGATATTACAGCCGCCCATTCTTGCAGCGCCATCTATTGAACATTTCTCACACCACCGATGACACAAACCCCTGCTGCCACCTGGCGGTGACCCCGCTCACCAGCCTGGTTTCAGGCCGCTCTTGAGCGCTGTCTGGATGGGCTGCGGCACGTCCCAGGGCATGATGAAGCCTCCCTGGCCAGGCTCGCCCTGGCCGGGGTCGCGGTACTTCGGACCGTATTCTGATGATGCCTGGTCGTTACCTGAAACAAATGGCATAGATAACCGTATGAGGAAATATGACTGACGAGTTTATGCCACGATATCCATGGTGTTATCCCACGCAACGTTGAACAAAATAATGATGTCTAATTATTATGAGCATTTACTGATAAACATAAATGATTAATGATTACAAATTGCAATTCCTGAGGAAAATTCATTACGACTTCGCAGCCTCTTTCATACAATCTTTAAGGAGCGCGCAAGCACTCTCTAGATATGAATCTTCGTCATTTTATATGAGTTTGACGGCAACCTCTTGATGTTTACGAACCTTTGCCCTCCTGCTGCTGTGACTGGTATGATGGCTGCGATGCCGGCTGTCCGTAACTCTGGCTTGGCTTGGGAGCGGGAGCAGGAGGACTATACTGCTGGGGCGCGGGCGCAGGGGCGGGGGCAGGGACAGGGGCGTTGTATTGTTGAGGAGCCGGGGCAGAGGCAGGAGCGTTATACTGCTGAGGCGCTGGGCCAGGGGCAGGGGCAGGGGCACTGTATTGTTGAGGAGCAGGGGCTGGGGCAGGAGCGTTATACTGCTGGGGCGCTGGGCCAGGGGCAGGGGCAGGGACGTTGTACTGTTGAGGGGCGGGTGAAGGGGCAGGTGCACTGTATTGTTGAGGAGCAGGGGCTGGGGCAGGAGCGTTATACTGCTGGGGCGCTGGGGCAGGAGCAGGCGCAGGCGCAGGGGCACTGTACTGCTGTGGCGCTGGGGCATTGTACTGGGACTTAGGTTCTGGCTCGGGAGCAGGGGCTCCATACTGGGGCTGAGGCTTAGGCTGAGGTTTAGGAGAGTCATACTGAGGCTGGGGCTTCTGCTCAGGAGCAGGAGCTCCATACTGGGGCTGGGGCTGGGGCTTAGGAGCAGGAGCAGGAGGCGGACCTCCATACTGGGGCTTAGGTTGAGGAGCAGGGGCTCCATACTGAGGTTTAGGCTGAGGTTTCGGCTGAGGAGCAGGAGCTCCATACTGGGGCTGGGGTTTTGATTCAGGAGTAGGGGCAGAACCTCCATATTGGGGCTGAGGTTTAGGTTGAGGAGCAGGGGGAGGACCTCCATATTGGGGCTTAGATTCGGGAGCAGGAGCAGGGGCTCCATACTGGGGTTTAGGCTGAGGTTTCGGCTGAGGAGCAGGAGCTCCATACTGGGGTTGAGGTTTTGGTTCAGGAGCAGGAGCAGGACCTCCATCTTGGGGCTTAGGTTCAGGTTGAGAAGGAGGGGCTCCATACTGGGGTTTAGGCTGAGGTTTCGGCTGAGGAGCAGGAGCCCCATACTGGGGCTGAGGCTTTGGTTCAGGAGCAGGGGCAGGACCTCCATATTGGGGCTGAGGTTTCGGCTGAGGAGCAGGAGCTCCATACTGGGGCTGGGGTTTGGGCGCAGGTTTAGGAGTGCCATACTGGGGTTTGGGCTGTGGTTTGGGTGTGCCGTACTGTTGCCTGTTTTTCGGCTCGCTACGCTGACCGTAGCTCTGCTGGTTATTGGTCGGGGTTATCGGAGCGGCTGAGGGGATCTGGAAACCCTGGTAGGAGGGCTGCGCGGGGGCGGGGGCGGGGGAGCCGTAGGACGGTGACGGCTGTTTCTGCTGCCGTCCCCCTCCTGACGGTCGCGGTGCTCCATACTGGCGCTTCGGGCGAGCTGTGAACAAAGGGAAGTCGGTTAACGATTAACGGCAAGACTCATTGCTGGTGAACGATTGATAAGAACAACAGTGAACCATGTGAGGCGCACGATCTGTATCCGCAGGCGTGTCAAGTTCTGAGACAAAGAAGGAAACCGTCAAACTGGCTGATTGCTCTCTATTCTCGCACTTGCTAGCGCTTTGCATAATGTCTTAAGCTAAATAAGCGGAGCGCTATCCAGACTTTTCCCTTGTATTAGCCACTGTCTGCAACAATCTACCTCACAAAGGATTCATGATGCATGGCATGAATCGTGGAAGTATGGGCGAATGAATATTTCCCTGCCACCGAGTGAAGGTTCATATATCACACGCGGACTATAAAAGACATTTTCTCGTGCATCTAATGATGACTCATCGCAAATCACCCACCAAATGTCTGGTTAATGACGAAAGTCTAAGTCTGGTGACGAGGACAATTTAGTGGCGAAAATGATGCAGAGATTTGCAAGGTGGGCTTTAACGAGGAAAGAAATCGCCAAACCTACTTGATAAAGGCTAGTCTGCGTGCTGCGAATTTGACCAGGTGGTACTTTGAGCCGGCATTGGCCCATAGAGTGCAGCTGCTCGCATTGCAAAATGCAAGCTGACCAATTGGCAATTGCAATCTCCCTTGGCGCAGATATCAATAACAATTATAGTGTCATTTCCATGGGCAAAAGAAATTAATTCGCAGAACAAGCAAGCCTATGCAGTAGCGGCGGAACACCTTCAATGAAGGGGAGGGGTGGGGGGCACTGCCGACTTTTGGTCCCATTCTTTCCATGCAACGCCCATACGGCTAATTTTAAAATGCCAAAAACAAAGGGGGGGGGCACGGTGCCCCGGTGCCCTCCCCATTCCGCCGCCTATGAGCCTATATGTAGCTATGCGGAATAGGATGAATGTGCAATGGTGTCAATACCAGAGTGAGGCAGGTAGCTGTGAGAGTTCCTGAAACCCGACTTAGCCTGAAGGAAACGGAAGCCAGTCCTCATTACAAGACCGCACATCGCAATACCAGTAATATTCAATGAGTTTCGTTATGTAAGTACATCTAAACAGTTCACGTACGTTAGTTGGGAACTTTTGATGCAAATGCTTGGAAAAGTTCAATATTTTACGGTTTCTGGATTGTATGACAGCAAAGTAACGAGAGCGTCATATTTTGCTTCCGCTGACGTCAAATGCCTGCCTCGCCTCTCCGCAATTGACTACTAGAGCAGCTGTAGCTTTCTGCGGCAGCCGGACTCTCTCTCTCTCTCTCTCTCTCTCTCTCTCTCTCTCTCTCTCTCTCTCTCTCTCTCTCTCTCTCTCTCTCTCTCTCTCTCTCTCTCTCTCTCTCTCTCTCTCTCCCTCTCCCTCCGTCCTGCAGCTCCCACCCCTCCCATCCCTCCCCATCTCTACCCTTTCCGCTACCACCGCTCCGTCCCCGACCCGACCCCGTTCGGTCTCCGGTCAGCCGGTTGCTCTATTTCACACAGAACTCAGCCATATATCACCCACTCCGCCAAACGGCTCAGAGAAATGGTCACCAGGGTGTGTCCGGTGGTTTCGAGGTGATCGACCGTGAAATTCGCTACAGTTGGGTCGTGTGGGCCGTTCGATAGTTTGAGCGACAGTTGCAGAAACATATGCGTACGTTTTATAAGCTGGGGAGAAAGTTCGAAGAGCTTCCAATTATGCAGCTTTCCCTAAAGACATAAATACAATTTTATCCGTTCAATCCATTCATAATTGAGACGACCCGTCGACCTCAAAACTCCATACTACGAAATTTATCTAACACCACCAAGATTTGAACCACGGACCTTCCTTTTTATCGCCACGGTTCAGGTTCACTGCACTTCCATTCCCCGCGGGGAACGGATCCCTGAACCAACCCTGAACGGCTTTCAGCACGGATTCCAGCATGGCTATTGGCTAGGCACGTGCGTTTTCATGTGAATGCACTCCCGTGACTCTTGGTCATGCCTGAATGCCGGCAAATACCACCGGCCTGAACTTTGTGGTGGATTGGCGCGAAGTCTTTGGGACGGGCATGAACTTCTCGCTGCAACACTGGCTGAGCTACGCGATGACAAGCATCATGATAGTAAGAGTTTCACGAATGGTCTACGAATGACGATGCGGATTGGACGATGACAAGTTTGTGATATGTTAGAGATTCTGATACAAAGACCGATGGTCGAAAGAAGGAGAGAAATGATCTAGGAATGACGAGCAGCATCGCTTTCAGAATGACAAACAAAATCCTCAGAATAATGATTCACCAGCAATTGAATGGAAGCTTGCGGACAAACTGTCACTTGTGTCACAGACTGTCGACAAGGCATGGGATGAATCTCAGAACCTATAACACAATACCATAAGTAAGAGAAGAGCCCGGCGCCAAGATGTCACGAAGAACTACGACAATAAACATAAAAAAGAGACGAAAGCGACTTCTTTCGACACACTCCTCACACAACGAACTACGCAATAAACATCTCCATAAACCCTTTTGTAACACCACTTCCCGGGAGCAGTTTTGTCCATTTTGCAGCACCGACAGCCACAGAGAACAGCTGTGCTGCCTCGTCACTATCTGACCACAGGCATCATTCCCACACTGATCGACAGATGGGGGACGAGAGGTGAGAATGCAGCCAGGGGTGAGAATGTGGTAAGCGATGGGTGGGATCTAGACCGTCAAGGAGGCCTCAAACGGTCTCACCCCATGCATCGAAGTGTATTGGCCTGTCTTTCTGATGGAGGGTGAAAGCGAAAGTGAACGATCAGGGAGAAACTGGAAGTTCCAACCATTTAGATTGAGATATGAGTTGATGACCCGTCGATCAGAGGCTGACTTCTAGATTGGTGCTCCTGTCAATAAAAACTCATGTAATACCATACGGCGAGAGTAATTCAGACCGTCAAACTGTGTTACATAACGGTGTTACATCAAGTCTGGAGAGTTGTATGGTCAGCAAGAGCTCGAAACTGTATCATCGGCAGATATGATGGATTTGTTGAAGTCATGGTTTCAATGTCTGGTCTAGTTCATTATGACTGCATCGAAATACGGCAGCTTTGTCTACATACAACTTTGAAATCATTTCTTGTCACCACTGAAGATTCAAATGTACTCGCAGAGACTGATGGCACAGGCTTATGGCGGACATACGACAATGCCATTAGCGAATCAAGTTTTCTAGAGCACACCTAGCGTAGAAAGTGGAAGTCAAATTATGCCAAGAAACCTGCATAAAGCTATGCGTGTCAGAACCGTTATAATGTGAGCACCAGACCGTCTCTTCGCGGGACGCTACCATACGCGCGCCATGAACCGTATAATGATCGAAAGGGGCATGTGCATCGTAAGGAGCGATGCGAAACATGATACTTAATCTCTTTATGTCAGCTACGCACTAGTTACCCGAAGATAGATTGCATCGAACATTGAAGTCATGACGCTAAAACGGTAATTGGATGACGGTAATTGAGAAGAAAGGAACCGAGACATGAGGGCTTCAATTTTTCGTTCTGCGGTGACACATGCACGTGCATTGTTGCGAATCGGACTGCTGTGGTGAAATCTGTTTATGACCGCAGCTCATTGGTGCATTGCGTAATGTGAGAAAAAATAGCCGGCATTTCTCACGATAGTTTTGCTCTCACCACAATCGCTATGGTCTATTATGCGTGCAGTGATTAGTTTGAATGCCACAGGTACCGTGCTCGCATTGTCATGCAAGTAGCATTGACCTCGTGACAGAAAACAAACTAACTAACTAAGCCAGAGTTCATGGTATCTGCCATCACTTTCAGATCACTGAACACACTGTGGCGTAAATATATCAATACCGTGAAAAAAGGAATGCAAAGTAACTGAAAAACTTCCTGTTTCATAGAACGTTTGCTCGATGAAGTGGAAAAAGCATTTTCTCAAATGAATGTTTTCCTACACAACAGCTGGATCGGGTGAACATTTCTTTGCCATTTTATAATATCTCCTTGCGAGATATCCATCAAAACACTCACCACACGTTCTGAGTGAGCTTTCCCAGACAACAGATCAAAGTGTGCACCCCATCCCCCCCTAAAAAACGATTCCAAGAAGAGCCAAACTTACCAAAAACGAGCCACTCTGTGATTCTGTGTTAAACACATAATACTAATCCACTGTCAGCTGCATCTTTCGGAGAATCCACCCACCCGTCACGGTTAGCCACGGTTAGCGTCACGGTTAGCGTCACGGCTCCCACGACGCCTCCCATAACGGCTCAGTTACGGCTGTGATCGACTCTGACTCAGCAAAAGTCGGTGCGACTTATCGCTATTGTCGGAGCGAATCGTGACTGGCTACCGAAACATCTGTCACAGAGGAGAGTTTGCGTCCAAAGAGCACGTGCAGCAGCACAAGAGATTTTTGTCGTGAGTTAGACGGCGGAACTGACACGCCATATGGAGAGATCAACGGACAGAAGATCGAGAGGAGAAGAAACGTTTGATTTGGTTATGGATGAGCTACGTTCTTATCATTCCAAGAACGTGGGAAAATAAAGACTTGAACAATCGCTTTGGTCAGTCTAGTAAGCGTTCCATTGAAGGAATGAGTCGAATAAGAACATTATTTTTTCGACGAACCTCGGTGACGTGAACATATGACCACAAACGGCAATAAAATCTTTAACCCTATTCCTGGCGGGGGGGGGGGGGGGGGCTCAGGAGCCCCCCCCCCCCTGAGGTTTTTTGGTTATTTCTCCCAAACGCGTTGAGCTAGGAAGGTCAAATTTTCTGACTTTTCCTAAAAGGCTTCTACGCAACATGTCTGAAAATTTTGAGTTGATCTGACCTCAGGTCAGGTCACCAGAGGCGGTTTGGTGACCCTACCTCAGAAAAGTTTGCAATCACGCCAGAGCTAGAGTTTTTGACCGATCAATTTCTTCTCTTCAGGCTTTAGTTAGGGTACCAGTATGTGCAATTTGTATATCTCGGAATTTTGATATCGGTGACCTAAGGTCAGGTCAGTTTCGCGACCTCCCCATTATAAGTCAATGGGGGAAAAATCAACTCCCTGTTTTTACCACTAAAACGGGTCGGAATGGCCCCATATACCATACATGACTTCATATACGATCAACCTTCACTACCTTGAGGTCTGTTTTGCTGTTGGGCAGCTGTGAGGTCATGTGACGTCATCAAAGGTCACCAAAGGTTTTTGGCCAATAACTCCGTACAGGAACAAGATACAGACGCGTGGATGGTCTCATTGTGTTCAGCTCGTCAAGACGCATCGAATGATATACATGATGACCTCGAGGTCACGTGACCTGAGGTCAACCTTTGACCTTGACCTTTCGAGGTCAACATATATATCATTCGATGCGGATTGACGAGAGGATCACGATGATGCCCTTAGTTTGTTCCTATCTTGACTAATTCGAAAGTTATTCGAGAAAAACTCTCTCCATATCTAGCGCCGCCATTTTGACTTTTTCGACCCCTGTGACGTCATCTTTGACCTGACCTGAAAATGACCTTTGTAAAAATTGTAGATCTTGACCGTGCATATCCGATGCCGTTTACCGTTTGTCGCTGCGATGTGTAGTTTTTGAGATCTGAAGGGGGGGGCCGAATCGCCCCCCACCCGCCAGTTTCTTGTCCCGGCGGAGCCCGCCAGGAATAGGGTTAAGAGACTCGGCCACAAATTACTTTTGCCAATTCTGGTGACAAGCCAAGAAGCCATCTATGCATTTGAAGCAAGTTATTATGAAAACGTTTTCATGTTTTTTCTTCGTTGCTAGATCTGCGTGACAATAATTCCTGCTGTCAGCGTTAAATTTTGATCGGTCAAGCACAAAATGTTGGGAATGCACTCCCAGGGTATATTGAGTGAAGTGTGTTGATGAGTGAGTGTTGATGCACTCCCTCCCTAGTTCAGTTTTGGAGAGGTATCTGGCAATTAGCAATACCTAACCCGATGTAGCATCAAAACCCCCCACGTTTTACTTACTTTGTTCGGCATCAATGCCGTTCAGTGAGATGAACATAACAAACAGCACCTGCAATGCAGTGGGATACTGTTAGACAGAAATATACGACCGATACACCCACATAATAATTCAACTAGACCCTTATTGATTATGACAGAAAAGTTCATTTAGGCATCTAAAACGCGATGATTGCAAATTGCAGGTTTCTAAATAAAAAAACTAAATCACTGAGGCCTAAATTATTTCTATTAAAATATAGCGAACAACGCATGCTTTTAAATGTAAAAAACAACGCACGAAAACAGACGTGACATTTCACCGTCTCAGAAGCTATTCAATGCACAATGTAACTACTTGTTTGCTCAGCAAACAGGACAACTTTGCGCTTAAAGATTCGTTTCCACTCAAAAGCTCAAATAATTATCAGAATGGTTCTTGAGCTACCCTACCACGTTATCGTGTAGTTTACATTTCTGCTCAGTCGTTATACACGGGCAATGTTTTTGTTACCGGTCCCGGAGCCACTTTTTTGTTACACGCGTAACTCAGAAAATGTACAAATCACAGAATGTGCTTGCTTGGGGGATTCCTCAATAGACGCTAGTTTGAAAAAAGCTTAAACGAATTGCAATAGTTTTCCATTCCTTGAAGTTTGAAATTCTTTACTCAATAAGCTATTGCCCAATAAGCAATTACTTTCCAACCTTCCAACTTCCATGTACCTTTTACCTTTTGTACCTATTACCTTCCATGTACCTTTCAACACGAAACGAACAAAAACATATTGTACTCTTATTGGATCCTTCTACATGAAATCAATGGGAAAATATTTATCAATTGTAAGCAGACATGTGCATGGATCCAAGAAAATGGATGTTGGATCTGATCCCACGGATTTTGATCTCGGATCCGACGGGATCATAGATCCAGCTCTCTAATTTATCGAGAGATCCATAGGGGTCACAGATCCGATTATCATTTTTTGCTTGAGATCCAGTGAGATCATAGATCCTCACTTACTTTTGTCAACACAGAAATCCTCCCCCCCCCCCCCAACGCTTGTTGCAACTCACAAACGTTCTGTTAAGGTGATTTTATGTGATTGCACGCCATAATTAATAGTTTTGTTGCACGTAATGACATAGAAACCCTTTAAAACATGGTTTCAAATGCTGTGCTTGGTGGGATCCACTCAGATCATAGATCCATGTTCTTGACTTATCATCAGATCGTATGAGATCATAGCTCCAATGTAACTTTTTCACGCCGGATCAGAAAGGATCATAGATCCTAACCTGCAGGTTGTTTCGAGATCCACTGAGATCATAGATCCATCGCTCTGATCCATTCACATGTCTGATTGTTAGTTGTTGTTGTTTTTTTTTTTGCTTTTTGACATCAGTCTGGTTTGAACGACTGCAAGTTGTAGCAAGTATTTGGCAACAGCACGAAAAAATGTAGGTTTTCTTTCAAATTAATGCGGACTGCTTCACGTCCTTCCTTCAAGTAAATGTGGCACGTGACAAGCATAAACATGAATAGACAAACATATCAGTACAAGGAAAAAAGGAGCAAGTTAGAGTAAACTTCATAAATTTTCACGTGCACTTTTTATCCAAGCACTTGTGGCCATTCGTTATCAAGAGCAGACTATCTATGATCCATGATCTCATTAAATCGCGCGATAATAACCACGGTCAAGGCACACGATCAAATGTTTTTAGAAAGGAAAGGGCACGTGAAAAGCATGAGTAGTAATCCAAGATAATAGAGTGCTGACTGAATCGATTTCATCAAATAAGACAAACATTTTGTAACCAGTTTATCCAGGCAAATTATCGAACACAGGTTGGTGTTTCCCACTATATCCTCAGTTTTACCTCAACTACATTATCTATCATCAATCTGCAATCATCCCCAACTCCACTAAATACTGACCAAATTCACACTTTACTACTTACCACGCATCCTGTGCTCCTCATTGCGTTCCAAAAATCCTCCACAAACAGCTCTGCAGTTGCACTAACGTTCACGTCGCGGCACGAACACTCACGGCTCGCCACGGACGCTCACGGCGCAGCTGAGACTAAACTGGCGCACACATCATGAGCGTCGGTTATATACGACCACTGCACGCTTCAGTAGCCACGGGCGGAGCGGGAGCCGGTAAAAGCGAGGCTGCATCACTGCGAGCACAGCTCGGTCAGTGAGTTCGCGAGATGTGAGATAGGCGGGAAGAAGATCATTCAGTTCGCGAGAGATACGTAAAGAGTGAAATGGCGACACGAGAGAGAGAGAGAGAGAGAGAGAGAGAGAGAGAGAGAGAGAGAGAGAGAGAGAGAGAGAGAGAGAGAGAGAGAGAGAGAGAGAGAGAGAGAGAGATGATGGAAGAGATGGGAATTTTGAATTGGTGAGACTCGTGGTGAGCGATGCCAGATGAGGAAGGGATATTCCAAGAAACGACGGGCACAAGCGCTTCTGTTCTCATTCAACAACTCAGTTTCTGTTCTCTTTCCAACGTCGAAAACCTGGCTTTGCGCTACGTACGCTTTGAAAGCCAAATAAAACAGCATCACATCCACCGAATGCTCCATAGTTTTCCTTATTCCTACACAAACAAAAGTTGTCCACAAAAACACTTGTATGTGGAGAATTACACAGCATACACTACTATAACTGATCGAACAGCCACAGAATGTTCGTTCTAGCGTGTTGTGGCATGGAATGGTCTACTTATCACAGCCACATCGTATCTCAAACATGACGAGGTCGCACCAAGATTAGCCACTGTCACGAACAAAAACTGGCCACAAAGCTACCAAACGGCTTGCATGAGAGCCACCGGGAACGGGCACAGCTTGTTTTGCCACGGAAGTTTACTGGATGATTGTTGATCCAATGTTTTGAACGTTTCGAAAAACACTCATTGGACCGCATTTATTGAACACCAAAAACAGTAAAACCTGAATATTTCATGATTGCTCGTATGCCTCACACATTGATATTATTGAAGGTTGATGCAATTTGATAAAATATCGAACTACATTTAATTACTTTTAACTTCTTTAGATTGTGACAAGAACAGCTGTACTGGTAGCTTGGAATTATAAATAGTTTATACGTCTAAAAATGCACATTACATGAAGTATATATAAAAGAAGACCAATAACAGTAACCAAAACCAGAAGCATCATCACAACCTATTATCAAATATAAAAAAAACGTATTAAACACGAACAATGCATACGAATTGGGAACAAATTATGGTAATAACTAACATGAAATCGCAGCTTACAATTCAGCAACACTTGATTATGGATCCAGCTGATGCAACGAGCCATTTCTTGAACTGCTCTTGAATGACAACTGTCTGCCAACAGCGAATCTTTGTACCATCTGTTCCCATCCGATGTGCGGTATTGCACCGCGTTTCATCACGTGCTGTTGAACAGATTTTGACATGACATGCAAACACGGGTTATTTATTCATTTATTTATTGAACGTCTTTGGACCATCCACAGGAGCCGTGGCTATTCTCAGTCCAGTGTCACAATCGCTGAATATTTAAAGACATGATGTGGAGATGAATTGTGAATTAAAATGAAATCGGACTTACTCCACAAGAGTTCGTTGGGTCGGAGCTTTCGAATTGTATTACAATTCTTCGTCAGCGAGAGTCGTATCGGATGTTAAGATCGAATCGAAGGTACAGTGCGGATCGAACAAAATATATAAATATATTTTGTTCGATCCGCACTGTACCTTCGATTCGATCTTAACATCCGATACGACTCTCGCTGACGAAGAATTGTAATACAATTCGAAAGCTCCGACCCAACGAACTCTTGTGGAGTAAGTCCGATTTCATTTTAATTCACAATCGCTGAACAGTAGTAAAAGTGGGTAAAAAGGTACATGCATTCACATACACACATATACATACAAAACGCATAATAAAAGAAAAAGAGAAACATCACAGCGCAAGTTACAAGTTTCACAAGCGGTAAATAAGCCTCACAGACGATAGGTAACTATACCGGAACAGCACCTACTCGTACTCTCTCTTGAGGTAAAGACGCAAGTTCTTTTTGAAGGCATCATGCTTGAGGGCAGTCAGCTCCACCGGCACTTTTTGAAGGCATCATGCTTGAGGGCAGTCAGCTCCACCGGCAAAGGGAAAGGGTTGCGAAGGTTGCAGAGATGTACGATTCGGAAAGGGTAGCTGATATTTTGAAATGGCCATCAGCCTATGTGTTTTGATTATGATGATGTGTGTGTTGCACCATTCTGTTCATTCGTCATTATCATCGATGCGTTCCCTGGCTGGTGCCGAGACAATCATGGAAACCATGAAAGTCACATAGAAGAATCGATTAAATTGTTTCTGAGAGTTAGATAATCCAAACATGATAAAAAGTCGTACTGTTTGTAGACTACCGCACTGTTTTGCGTAATGCATAAATAGGTCAGTGAAGTACCTACAGCGTAATTTTGACCAGTGTCACCAGACTCACAGCCTGCCAATAGGCCTGTATTCAATTGACGGGCGATGTGTTTTCCAATTGCAGTTGAGACAAAACGCAGGATGATTTCCCGTGGGTATACCTGGAGCTGTATCGAAATAATTTTATGAACGTGTCAGCTATTCGCTTCAACCCAATTCAATTGGTTTCGATGTTGTTTGTTGGCGTAACGTTCAGATGATGCTAGTTTATTCATGAATTAAAAGAGCAAACAGGTTTAGTGTATCACTGACAATTCAAACTTAAATCTAAGAATGTCAATGAAATAAAACAAACTCTCGAGTATTTGTAGCACAATGCTGCAAGCTGAATAGAGGCAACAGATCATCATTATTTTCGAAGGACTTGAAATCACATAAACAAAACTTCAGCGCACAACTAAATACAATGATGCTAATATTGCAGCTAGTATGAAATGAACTAAAAAAAAGCTAAAAGCCCCATCGCAACCTCAATCACATCATTGCATATCGAGTTATTACATAGTAAGCAGCCCCCACATGGCGCGGTATTTTGACATCCAATGTAGATGACCGTCTTTATTGCTCTTGGATTGGAGCCCAACTTGATGATTGCACAATACCGATTAAAGATGCATTTAGTCACTATGATCACCATTCTGCACACTGTTCAGTACTTACCAGCCCCAGCTGTTGTAGATGCACATGATAGAGTGCAATTGCTCCAGCTGTCACTGGTTGCATGGATAGAGACTGGATGAACCAACATCGAAGGTTCCCGAATGCTGGGATCGGATGGTAAATTGCTCGCGGTCTGGTTGATTTATCTGTTTAACTAGATCTGCGTTCAAGTTGGTTGCAATGCTGTTTGACACCAGACCACGCATTGAGCAGTAATCGCGAAGCATTTGGAATGTGGATCGCTCTTAAATGTAAATACAATATAATAAAATGCTTTACAGTACAATACAGACAGCTGAATTGAGCAGCTGAGGCAGAGGAGCGTGCAGACGGCCACCCACGAGAGAAACCGACGACCCGACAGAAAACGAACGTCATGAACAGAAACGTTAATCGGCGCCATCTGTCGCCAACGCTGCCGCTGGGGCATTCCACGTCAAATCAAAAGCCTAAGCTACACTAGCATGAATTCCGACGTTTTTTCGGTTCCTGCGGGATTTCGGTTCGCGTCGTCAAGTTCGCCTCATAGCGAATGCATTGCGCAAGCTACACTGCCAGTCTGGCGTCCCGTGGAACGAAAACCCGCAAAGACCGACGAGTCGGAACCGAAAAAAAGTTCAGAGCTGTGAACTTTTTTTCGGTTTCTGCGGGATTTCGTTTTAGTGATGAATTATTAGAAGTGATTGTTGCTAATAATATTGTGACGATGGAACAGTTTCAAATGTAAATAATGAAAATGGTGTAATTCATGATTAAAGAAGACAAGATGTGTTTCAAAACTCATCATTTTACTTCAAATATGATAATTGTAATCAAGCTGACAAATGATTATGATCGAAAATATATTCTTGTTAGCTGTAAAATCTTTTAAACAATTATTTAATTATAATTTTGTTAAAGCACGATAATATTTAACATGAATAATTAATTAATTTGATCACATATCCATCACTATGCTATAAACAACACCGTCCACGCGGCGGCCGCCCGGAACGAAAAAACGCAGAAACCGTAAAAACGCGGAAACCGAAATCACGCAGAAACCGAAAAAACGCTAATAGTGTAGCCTGAGCTAAACACTGAAATCCGTCATCCCCTTCGATTTTTCTGAAAATTTGTAAGCAGACTGGGCATGGTTCAAAACTGAGTTACGTATAATATTTTCGAAATTTGATAACGTATCGCTGAGATATAGGTCATCGAATATAGCGAAAAATGCCACACATCCATTTTTTAAATGGCTATAACTCTGGTTCCTTTCCTGGTATCAAAATGATACTAACAGGGTCTTATAGGCGATTGATAAGGCTTTGATTTTTAATTATAAAATTAAATTGAAGTGACCTTGAAATGCATTTGACCTTCAATTAAAACAGAAAAATCTAAATAGCAAAAAACACGTCACCTTCGATTTGGGTAATTTTTACGTATTATGTCCGTCACAATGTTCCTAACCATCTGTGAAATAATTGGAGTGGGCCATTCATAACTTTCGCGGCAAACGCCGTTTTCATGCATCAACATCACGCAACCGCGCGTGACCTTGAAAGACAGAGTCAAGACATGCTTGCTTGAGTACGCTTTATGAAATGAATGATTGCTGATTAGTGATATCCCAAACTCTGCGAGAATGGAAATGCATAGTCATCGTAGTCAAGCATTCACGTTCCATAGTAAAAGTGTCTCAGGCAAACGGTATTTTGCGGTGAATTTTGAGCCGTGTGGAAATGCATCATGAAGTAAATTCAACGCAAACATTATCACGCAACGATATCTTCACGTCTTTTGATCTTCACTATACGAAAGAAGATACATTTTTTAGTATGTATGGGGAATTTCTAGTTAATCCAATAATAAATAGGTATGGCAGTTAGAGGCCTGCTAAGAGTAACATGTCGCCGGCTGAGGCGGGCTCGGCCGATGCGGGAAACGCAGCAATCACAATTTTGTGTTTACACGTTCATATTTCAATTGTTTACCAACCGATTTCCAAAATTCTTTCACCATAAGATTGCCTGTACATTTTTTAGTCTTCTCACAAAA